GAGAGAGAGAGAGAGAGAGAGAGAGAGAGAGAGAGAGAGAGAGAGAGAGAGAGAGAGAGAGAGAGAGAGAGAGAGAGAGAGAGAGAGATGTCTGGTGTATGGAAGGATTAAGTGAGCAGTAGGGTCAATGGACTTCCAACAAAAGTAAGCACTATTAGGATAACCCCGAGGCCCCGCAGCTGCCAACAACGTTGACGATTCAACGACCACACATTACTTGATACACCCTAATAAAGAAAATTATACTTACAACAGCCCTTTCTGCTTTGGTTCGAGTCATGCTAGGCATTAAACACATTCACAGTGAAAGAGCCGCCTGATTCTCTTGCCAAGCTGGTACACAGACCAACAAGTTGTACACCCAATTATTTACCATGTGCACGGCTCTTGTCTGTCGCCACTATCGACCATTCGCACACAGATTCTTCTTCAGCAGGGAGAACAAGCCCTTTTACATCTTCAGCGTCAGACGACCCAGACAATGCTGAGAACAGCCGCAAAAGGAGGCCCTATGAAAGAATTCCAAACTGTTTTTCCTGCAGTTAAACTGGGAACCACGAAGCTGAGTACCAAGGGAGAAGAAACGGGAACCCTACTTTTCCTCATCAAGAAACGGGACCGCTACTTTTCCACACACAAGCACAAATGCACATGAAAGGTCGAGGTAAACAATCCTCCCATACAGATGTTGTGCCCGTCTTCACCCTTGCAAAACACACCCCAGAACACACACACACACACACCACACACACACACACACACACACAACCAAGTGGCGCATAAACTCGTAGAGGGTAGAATGGCAAACAGTAGAGGCTATATATGGATGTTTGCACACACTAGAACAGGCCAACATGGTGACGGCCACACACTAACATTACCAGAATTCTTCTAGTAATTCCCGTAGCGGAACTGCATGCAGGACCAAGTCGTTGCTTGCGTGAAGAAGAAACGTAATCTGGAGCCACAAACAGGAGCAAAAACAGTCATTGGATGTCGCATCAGATATTCCCCAACGCCACAGTCCCTCCATCCCTCCTCAGCAATCTCGCACCTTGCCGACAATAGAGATTTGCTGCATTCAAAACACCACCCAAACATCAGGAACCTTCTGCATCCCTCTTCTCCTCTCCCTCCCCCCCTCTCAGCCACTTATTCTATCAAAATTCTCTCCACATCTGGCCCAGAAATCTAGGCATGCCAACATACTGATCGACAGAGGCAGCAATCAAAAGAGAGGCAGAGAGCTCAGAACTGTACATAAGTCGACCAAAATTGCCCTGTGTTCCTGAGGCTGAGGCGCTTCAATGCACGGATACAACGGTTAACTGACGAGTCGGAGTAGACGATGCTGTAGCTCTTGGCCACCTGGTGGTGCATGACATGAAGGCGTCGACCAGCGAAACACTATCATTGATGGCTGTAGAGAGCTTCGATGACGAACATTCTTGGTCTTGCTCAATGCCCGACACCGACTGTGAATTCAGTAGTATGCTTTCCTTGGATTATTCTGCACATGAGACGACGGTAACCACCCATAAGAAAACACAGGATTGTGATTCAGCTTCAGGACAAAAAACACATGAAATACGAAAAGTTCGAAAGATGGAAGAGAGACAGAAGAAGGGGCTGAGAATGACTGGGAGGCACCCTCGCCCCAAGATGGCAGGAAGGAATGTGCTCAAAGCTTCAGCTTCCTCCTCCTCTTCCCCTTCTCCTCCTGCTTCCACTTATGCTTCCTCGACTGCTCCTTGTTCTTCGTTCGCTGGCTTGACGGATGTTCGCACATATTGAGGCCAGACCAAGAATTACCCAAGAATAATCATCATACGACACATGACCGAAAGCAATCTCCATTATTTCCTTCTAATCTCACAACTCCACAGAATGTAACAACTCCACAGCCATATTTAGTTGTATCATCTGTGCAACTTGAAATGCCAGGGAGAACCTTACTGGGGAGTGCGTGCTAGATTCTTCACAAACCTAGGAAGAATATAGATTTGTGTGTGTGTGTGTGTGTGTGTGTGTGTGTGTGTGTGTGTGTGTGTGTGTGTGTGTATGTGTGTGTGTGCGTGTGTGCGTGTATTGTGATATTCACTATACAGTAGTAGTATACACTCAAAAAAAGCATGACTGTGACAGACTGTTTCATCGGACTTTCACCGACTCATCAGGAGGTTGAACCTGGACAGACAGTCTGCCCAGGATTCATTTGACTGATGGATAAGGCCTCACCACATCGCTCAGAGTTAGCGACACCCATCCCTGAGAGAGAAAAGTGGTCAACTTTACTCACACCAAACCCTTGACAAGAACGGTAGTAAATCTGAGAAACTAATCTGACACAGTCTGTGTGTGTGTGTGTGTGTGTGTGTGTGTGTGTGTGTGTGTGTGTGTG